GTCTCTACTTTAAGAGTCCTCTCCTGCTGATGTTCAGGTGTATATCAGTATGTAGTGTCTCTACTTTAAAGAGTCCTCTCCTGCTGATGTTCAGGTGTATATTTCAGTATGTAGTGTCTCTACTTTAAAGAGTCCTCTCTGCTGATGTTCAGGTGTAATCAGTATGTAGTGTCTCTACTTTAAAGAGTCCTCTCCTGCTGATGTTCAGGTGTATATCAGTATGTAGTTGTCTCTACTTTAAAGAGTCCTCTCCTGTGATGTTCAGGTGTATATCAGTATGTAGTGTCTCTACTTTAAAGAGTCCTCTCCTGCTGATGTTCAGGTGTATATCAGTATGTAGTGTCTCTACTTTAAAGAGTCCTCTCCTGCTGATGTTCAGGTGTATATCAGTATGTAGTCTCTACTTTAAAGAGTCCTCTCCTGCTGATGTTCAGGTGTATATCAGTGTAGTGTCTCTACTTTAAAGAGTCCTCTCCTGCTGATGTTCAGGTGTATATCAGTATGTAGTGTCTCTACTTTAAAGAGTCCTCTCCTGCTGAGTTCAGGTGTATATCAGTATGTAGTGTCTCTACTTTAAAGAGTCCTCTCCTGCTGATGTTCAGGTGTATATCAGTATGTAGTGTCTCTACTTTAAAGAGTCCTCTCCTGCTGATGTTCAGGTGTTATATCAGTATGTAGTGTCTCTACTTAAAGAGTCCTCTCATGCTGATGTTCAGGTGTATATCAGTATGTAGTGTCTCTACTTTAAAGAGTCCTCTCCTGCTGATGTTCAGTGTATATCAGTATGTAGTGTCTCTACTTAAGATTCCTCTCCTGCTGATGTTCAGGATTTGTATATCAGTGTAGTAGTGTCTCTACTTTAAAGAGTCCTCTCCTGCTGATGTTCAGGGTGTATATCAGTATGTAGTTGTCTCTACTTAAAGAGTCCTCTCCTGCTGATTGTTCAGGTGTTAATATCAGTGTAGTAGTGTCTCTACTTTCTTAAGAGTCCTCTCCTGCTGATGTTCAGGTGTCTATCAGTATGTAGTGTCTCTACTTTAAAGAGTCCTATCCTGCTGATGTTCAGTGTTGTATACAGTGTGTATGTAGTGTCTCTACTTTAAAGAGTCCTTCTCCTGCTGTTGATGTTCAGGTTGTTATATCAGTATGTGTGTCTTACTTTAAAGAGTCCTCTCTGCGATGTGCAGGTGTATACAGATGTAGTGTTTCTCTCTTAAGTCCTATCCTGCTGATGTTCAAGGTGTCTATCAGTATGTAGTGTCTCTACTTTAAAGAGTTCCTCTCCTGCTGATGTTCAGGTGTATACTCAGTATGTAGTGTCTCTACTTTAAAGAGTCCTCTCCTGCTGATGTTCAGGTGTATATCAGTAGTGTAGTGTCTCTACTTTAAAGAGTCCTCTCCTGCTGATGTTCAGGTGTATATCAGTATGTAGTGTCTCTACTTTAAAGAGTCCTCTCCTGCTGATGTTCAGGTGTATATCAGTATGTAGTGTCTCTACTTTAAAGAGTCCTCTCCTGCTGATGTTCAAGGTGTATATCAGTATGTAGTGTCTCTACTTTAAAGAGTCCCTCTCCTGCTGATGTTCAGGTGTATATCAGTATGTAGTGTCTCTACTTTAAAGAGTCCTCTCCTGCTGATGTTCAGGGTGTATATCAGTGATGTAGTGTCTCTACTTTAAAGAGTCCTCTCCTGCTGATGTTCAGGTGTATATCAGTATGTAGTGTCTCTACTTTAAAGAGTCCCTCTCCTGCTGATGTTCAGGTGTATATCAGTATGTAGTGTCTCTACTTAAGAGTCCTCGTCCTGCTGATGTTCAGGTGTATATCAGTGTGTAGTGTCTCTACTTTAAAGAGTCCTCTCCTGCTGATGTTCAGGTGTATATCAGTATGTAGGTGTCTCTACTTTAAGAGTCCTCTCCTGCTGATGTTCAGGGTGTTTATCAGTGTGTAGTGTCTCTACTTTAAAGAGTCCTCTCCTGCTGATGTTCAGGTGTATATCAGTATGTAGTCTCTACTTTAAAGAGTCCTCTCCTGCTGATGTTCAGGTGTATATCAGTATGTAGTGTCTCTACTTTTTAAAGAGTCCTCTCCTGCTGATGTTCAGGTGTATATCAGTGTGTAGTGTCTCTACTTTAAAGAGTCCTCTCCTGCTGATGTTCAGGTGTATATCAGTATGTAGTGTCTCTACTTTAAAGAGTCCTCTCCTGCTGATGTTCAGGTGTTTATCAGTGTGTAGTGTCTCTACTTTAAAGAGTCCTCTCCTGCTGAGTGTTCAGGTGTATATCAGTATGTAGTCTCTACTTTAAAGAGTCCTCTCCTGCTGATGTTCAGGTGTATATCAGTATGTAGTCTCTACTTTAAAGAGTCCTCTCCTGCTGATGTTCAGGTGTATATCAGTATGTAGTGTCTCTACTTTAAAGAGTCCTCTCCTGCTGATGTTCAGGTGTATATCAGTATGTAGTGTCTCTACTTTAAAGAGTCCTCTCCTGCTGATGTTCAGGTTGTATATCAGTGTGTAGTGTCTCTACTTTAAAGAGTCCTCTCCTGCTGATGTTCAGGTTGTATATCAGTATGTAGTGTCTCTACTTTAAAGAGTCCTCTCCTGCTGATGTTCAGGTGTTTATCAGTGTGTAGTGTCTCTACTTTAAAGAGTCCTCTCCTGCTGATGTTCAGGTGTATATCAGTATGTAGTCTCTACTTTAAAGAGTCCTCTCCTGCTGATGTTCAGGTGTATATCAGTATGTAGTGTCTCTACTTTAAAGAGTCCTCTCCTGCTGATGTTCAGGTGTATATCAGTGTGTAGTGTCTCTACTTTAAAGAGTCCTCTCCTGCTGATGTTCAGGGTGTATGTCAGTTTGTAGTGTCTCTACTTTAAAGAGTCCTCTCCTGCTTATTTTCAGGTGTATATCAGTATGTAGTCTCTACTTAAAGAGTCCTCTCCTGCTGATGTTCAGGTGTATATCAGTATGTAGTGTCTCTACTTTAAAGAGTCCTCTCCTGCTGATGTTCAGGTGTATATCAGTGTGTGTGTAGGTCTCTACTTTAAAGAGTCCTCTCCTGCTGATGTTCAGGTGTATGTCAGTAGGTAGTGTCTCTACTTTAAAGAGTCCTCTCTGCTGATGTTCAGGTGTATATCAGTAGTAGTGTCTCTACTTTAAAGAGTCCTCTCTCCTGCTGATGTTCAGGTGTATATCAGTATGTAGTGTCTCTACTTTAAAGAGTCCTCTCCTGCTGATGTTCAGGTGTATATCAGTAGTGTAGTGTCCTCTACTTTAAAGAGTCCTCTCCTGCTGATGTTTCCAGGTGTTGTATATCAGTATGTAGTGTCTCTACTTTAAAGAGTCCCTTCCTGCTGATGTTCAGGTGTATATCAGTATGTAGTGTCTCTACTTTAAAGAGTTCCTCTCCTGCTGATGTCAGTGTATATCAGTATGTAGTGTCTCTACTTTAAGAGTCCTCCCTGCTGATGTTCAGGTGTATATCAGTATGTAGTGTCTCTACTTTAAGAGTCCTCTCCTGCTGATGTTCAGGTGTATTCAGTAATGTAGTGTCTCTACTTAAAGATGTCCTCTCATTCTGATGTTCAGGTGTATATCAGTATGTAGTGTCTCTACTTTAAAGAGTCCTCCTCCTGCTGATGTTCAGGTGTATATCAGGTATGTAGTGTCTCTACTTTAAAGAGTCCTCTCCTGCTGATGTTCAGGGTATATCAGTGTGTAGTGTCTCTACTTTAAAGAGTCCTCTCCTGCTGATGTTCAGGTGTATATCAGGTGTAGTGTCTCTACTTTAAAGAGTCCTCTCCTGCTGATGTTCAGGTGTATATCAGTATGTAGTGTCTCTACTTTAAAGAGTCCTCTCCTGCTGATGTTCAGGTGTATATCAGTATGTAGTGTCTCTACTTTAAAGAGTCCTCTCCTGCTGATGTTCAGGTGTATATCAGTTGTAGTGTCTCTACTTTAAAGAGTCCCTCTCCTGCTGATGTTCAGGTGTATATCAGTAGTGAGTGTCTCTACTTTAAAGAGTCCTCTCCTGCTGATGTTCAGGTGTTTATCAGTGTGTAGTGTCTCTACTTTAAAGAGTCCTCTCCTGCTGATGTTCAGGTGTATATCAGTATGTAGGTCTCTACTTTAAGGAGTCCTCTCCTGCTGATGTTCAGGTGTATATCAGTGGTAGTGTCTCTACTTTAAAAGAGTCCCTCTCCTGCTGATGTTCAGGTGTATGTCAGTATGTAGTGTCTCTACTTTTAAAGAGTCCTCTCCTGCTGATGTTCAAGGGTATTCAGTGTGTAGTGTCTCTACTTTAAAGAGCCTCCTCCTGCTGATGTTCAGGTTGGTATATCAGTATGTAGTGTCTTACTTTAAAGAGTCCTCTCCTGCTGATGTTAAGGTGTATATCAGTATGTAGTGTCTCTACTTTAAGAGTCCTCTCCTGCTGATGTTCAGGTGTATATCAGTATGTAGTGTCTCTACTTTAAGAGTCCTCTCCTGCTGATGTTCAGGCGTGTATATCAGTATGTAGTGTCTCTACTTTAAAGAGTCCTCTCCTGATGATGTTCAGGTGTATATCAGTATGTAGTGTCTCTACTTTAAAGAGTCCTCTCCTGCTGATGTTCAGGTGTATATCAGTATGTAGTGTCTCTACTTTAAAGAGTCCTCTCCTGATGATGTTCAGGTGTATATCAGTATGTAGTGTCTCTACTTTAAAGAGTCTCTCCTGCTGATGTTCAGGTGTAATCAGTATGTAGTTGTCTCTACTTTAAAGAGTCCTCTCCCTGCTGATGTTCAGGTGTATATCAGTATGTAGCGTCTCTACTTTAAAGAGTCCTCTCCTGCTGATGTTCAGGTGTATATCAGTATGTAGTGTCTCTACTTTAAATAGTCCTCTCCTGCTGATGTTCAGGTGTGATGTCTGAACTCACCGATCTGTCCGGCCTTCACTCTGAATGGAACATCGAACTCACTCTGAAACACAAACATATTTAATATTTCATTCAGTTATATTCACACCATGTATCATTGCTACAGCTTATTTCAGTTAGTAAGTGATGACGGGGCTTACCAGCGCGTTCTCCTTAACCCTGAGGTTCTCCAGAACCACGTTACCTGCACACACACACACACACACACACACACACACACACACACACACACACACACACACACACACACACACACACACACACACACACACACACACACACACACACACACACACACACACACACACACACACACACACACACACACACACACACACACACAATGTTCATCGACATACCCAGAATCTAGCAAAAGACATTAATTCAACATCGGATTTTGGTTAAATTGGTTATTTTTGGTTGAGGTTGAAAAATCAATGTTGATTCGATGTGTTAATCGTGTGTGTTGTTGAATCAATTTAATATAGATGCCGGTTTTTCAACGTTGAAATTCCCTACAATGAATTTACATTGTTCCAACGTGAGACCAACTCTCCCCTCCCCCCCCCCCCCCCTCCCCTATAGGCCTACTTGTATTTAAAACACAGTATAACAAGGATTTTTGAGTTAAGACCGTTGCAGTCACATTTTCCTCCATGAAAACCCAGATGCGCATTGCTTTCGTCTACGGGGTTTCCCCAGGGTCTGAGCAGGGTCTGAGCAGGGTCTGAGCAGGGTCTGAGCAGGGTCTGAGCAGGGTCAGCCGCTGTAACGGACCGGTGAGCGGAGCAAAACACACGTTTCAAGTTAGACCTAACACACTTAGCTATTGTATCTACCTCTGGAACTAGCTAAACTAGTTATACATATGTTTATTCTTCACTGTCGGGTCACTCATTACTGGAGTAGCGAGCTGCGTGACATACTGACGGGCTGTCAGGAGAGAGAGAGAGAGAGACATTCAGTTGCTGACTGAACTGAATGTCCTATATGTGTCTCTTGTGTTTCGGGTGGATCACATGCAGTGCAGGCTCCAATCAAGAGACTCTTCTAAAACATTGTGGCCTTCGTCACGGAAAAGGTGCGAACTGGCCCTGTATTCACACTGACTGTGTATGTCAGTCAATTGGCAAACTATACTATACCCTGCCCTACCACTCCACTCCAGGCCCCTCCAACACACTACGCCCCACTTTCCAATCAGTCCCCAAACTTGTAATACCAGTTTTTGTTTTTATTCAAAACATCCAAACTATCCCCTTCAGATGATGCAGACTTTGAACAAGACGCTACCCAGGAATTTGCTGCACAGAAAAAACATGGCATTGTGGTTACAATCAAATTACATTGTTTTGTTATTGTGTTTTTCAGATATCTGAAGAATTTCATCGGATCAGCAGCAAAGACCTCCTGGGGACGCTCGGTGCAGCCTTTGACAAACATGTGCCTTGCCTGCTGAAACTGTAGCGGGCTAGGAATGGAGCTTTTGGACAGAAGATGGAAGACCTCTTTGAAAAACTTGATGAACAAGTGAGTGAAGTGCCTCAATCTAAGAGCATGCAAAAGGTGAGGGGAAAATGGCTGGAGCCGGGTCCCTTTGGTCCACCAAAGCCCTTTGGTGGACCAAAGGGCTTTGGTCCACCAAAGCCCTTTGGTCCACCAAAGGGCTTTGGTGGACCAAAGGACCAAAGCCCTTTCCCCCCATTTGAAAATATGAAATGCTCCTTCGCCTAACATTTGGAGGAGCAAAAACGCTTTGATGGAAAGACTTCAGTAAAAATGGATGTTAAAAGTCATTGCTTGGTGTTCTTAGTTGGTGGAATTTGAGAACTATAACAGTATTTTTAATTTGTAAAAGTAGAAAAGCCAGTCTTTTACTGAAGCATGTTACTGGAATCGGAGCTGTTCTTTATCCTCCTCATTACAGAGGACAGAAAGTCGGATTTTGTATAAATTCACGACGGCACTAAACTAATTGATATGTTTGTGTGTTTCCACTGGGTACTCCTCAGACATCCGACATGGTGTCTCACCGAAAGACAGCAGCACTGAGAGGCCTGCCGAGATGTGGTAAGTAATACTAACTGTAGGAAATAAACGTACACAATACAAGTAATATTGCTTAATGTAGCTTAAACATGTTATGACCTCATAGCTTATGCTAATCATTTTATGCACAATACACTTTGTGTAAGATTTCATTTTGAGCCCAGAGATGTTTTCACCTCATGAACCCGAGCGCGATGAGTTCACCCAAAATACAAATTAAATATCAGCGCCGTTTGAGCAACAGCCAACCCCATCCGGCTGGCCACTGTTGTCTGGTGTTCTTTGTAGAACTCGGCACAACAAGGTTGGTGTGTGATAGCAGCCGTGCTGGTGAGCTGAATGGTGAGGCTCAGTAGCTTGGTGCTAAAGTTAGAATCAGTGGATATGTATTTTGTCGTTGAGTTTTCCAGAGCACTCATTCATGCAGATTTGACTTTTCCTCAGGACACTGACCATGAAGGACGATTGCTCAGAGGTGTGTCTGTGGCCATCCTCACCGTCATTGAAGATGATGATGCCGCCATATCGCCCAATGTGCGAGACGTGGCAGTGGTGTTGGAAGGGACCATTGGCATGACCTACCAGACCTCTCTACTGCCTTTGCAATGAACATGGATTATCCAAAGGAGATGAGGGATACCTCGTTGGCCTACTTTATGCAATGAACATGGATTATCCAAAGGAGATGAGGGATACCTTTGAAGCCATTCAGACTATCTTTTACGGGCTTGGCTCTCGACGCTCGCAGCGCATAAGGTGTCGGAAAACAAAGCTTTTGCTGCGAATGTTAATGGGGAAGCCAGACATGACTTTAACCTTTTCACCTGTTCTAGTGCATTGTGGGTAGTGCTCATGTGAAACCTCACAGCATTCATTTCATTTTAAGCATATACAGCCAGGCTGTGAGTGTGAGTGTGAGTGTGAGTGTGAGTGTGAGTGTGTGTGTGAGTGTGTGTGAGTGTGTGTGTGTGAGTGTGTGTGAGTGTGAGTGTGTGTGTGTGTGTGAGTGTGAGTGAGTGTGTGTGAGTGTGTGTGTGTGTGTGAGTGTGTGAGTGGTGTGTGAGTGTGTGTGGTGTGTGTGTGTGTGTGTGTGTGTGTGTGGTGTGGGTGTGAGTGTGTGTGGTGTGAGTGTGAGTGTGTGTGGTGTGTGTGTGTGGGGTGTGGTGTGTGGTGTGTGTGTGTGTGTGAGTGTGTGTGTGAGTGTGAGTGTGGTGTGTGTGTGTGAGTGAGTGAGTGTGGTGGTGTGGTGTTGTGGTGTGTGTGTGTGTGTTGTGGTGTGTGTGTGTGTGTGGTGTGTGTGTGTGAGGTGTGTTGTGGTGTGGTGTGTGTGTGTGTGTGTGTGTGTGTGGTGGTGTGTGGTGTGTGTGTGTGTGTGTGTGTGTGTGTGTGGGTGTGTGTGTGTGTGTGTGTGTGTGTGAGTGTGTGTGTGTGTGTGTGTGTGAGTGAGTGTGTGTGTGTGTGTGTGTTCTGGGGCAGCAGAGACAGGTCTTCTCTGTGTTAGAGTGTTACTCCCTACAGGGTGCACTCTGAGGGTGTGTGGCTCTGCAGACCGGTTACATGCAGAAGCTTCAGAACACAAGGGGACGGGTCAGAACCAGAGAAGCATGAGACCTTTAAAAGAGAGAACGTTTTGTGTGCTAAAGTGGACAAAAGATGTACAAAATGTTCATATAATTGAATTAAATCATAATAATTAACTGAATAAATAATGGATTTTTTTGTTTGTTCATTTTAGTTCATTTTCAATGTCTGACATCAATGTTGATTGAAATCTTCAGCGTGACAATATCTCAATGTTGATTCAAAGACTTTTTGCTATCTGATAATAACATAGTTTCAATGCAACGCATAATATAGTTGAATCAATGTTGTTGCAATTCTACATTCTTTCAATGTTGATCATATCGTAATTGAATCGAGGTTGATTCATTGTTGGGATTGATTGAAAATGCAATGTTCTTTCAATGCTGATCATAGCGAACACTTTCAATGTTATTTTCAATGTCTGACTTCAATGTTGATCATAATCTTCAGCGTGACCATATCTCAATGTAGATTCAATGACTTTTTGCTATCTGGGTAACTACACTATGTTCGTTTGACAAATAAAGAACCTTGAACCTTACCAGTGTCAATCAGATAAACTGTGTGTGTGTGTGTGTGTGTGTGTGTGTGTGTGTGTGTGTGTGTGTGTGTGTGTGTGTGTATGTATGTATGTGTGTAATAATGAGGGGTAATTACAGTTCGGTTTTATATATAATATATTAATATCGCAGCCGATCTGAACAACACAACCTGTACTTTAAAGTTATATATTTATAAATGTGTGTATGTCTGTTAATAAAGCAGAAACTGTTGTTGTTGTGTTTCTGGACGGAGTCTGGTTCCTAAATAACATCACTTCCGCGTGCGCCACTGTGCTCAGAGAGCCGCGCGCACACATTACACTGGATTAAAATATATATAAATATCACAGCCAATCTGCACCATATCACCTGTAGTTTAAAGTGTGAATGTATGCACGCGCTCAGGTGTGTTTCTGACCCTTAAATTCAGAATAATGTGTTAAATTCTGATGTTTCCGGACGCAGTCTGGCTCTCACCTCCCCAGATCCCGATCTTCAGCTGGGACTTGTTCAGGTTCTCCACATAGTCTCCGATGAACCTGTTGAGCAGGTCTGAGACCAGGGATTCTAACACCATGATGCTGGTCCAGGTCCTGGTTCTGGTTCAGGTCCTGGTTCGGGTCTTTACTCCAGAGCCGCGTCAGTCCTGAGGAGGATCGACTCTCTCTGGGCTCGGCTGGATTGATTACTTCTGCCTGCCCTTAGACAGCGCTGTGTGAGACGGAGAGCATCGATCGGTCATCTGACAAGGGCGCGTGTTTACACTCAGGCACGTGACCTGTGGCCTGGCCCTGAAACAGGATGTGTCCACAAATCACTAACTGAACATAAGATAAGATAAGAAGTTCTTTGTTGATCCCAATCTGGGAAACGTTTGCGTTGCAGCAGCATACAAAGACATGGCCTTTCACAATAGAGAATTTAAAAGAGTAGAAATAAACAATTCAAAATGTAAACATCTCAATAGAAATAAAATAGCATTAAAAAAGTAGAAAATGTACATGTTGAAATACAAATTTACATTAACAAAATATAAAGCAGGATATTATATATGCTTTAAGCGTGTAAGGAATGGAATATTACATATTAAATTTAATATGGATGTAAAATATACAACACGAAAGTTAGTAGAATGTCACTGCCCAACTTCAGAGCAATTTCACTATGATTACATTATATAACTTTAATATCTGCCCTAACATAAGTAACTCAGAGCATTGCGTACAGTCCGTGACAGATATCATTGATATCATATCACATCACAATATATCATATATTTCCTTATCTGTGTCAGCTTCCCAAAAGCTTTGGACAAGGTTCAACACAAATGCAAAAGAATAGTATGCATGATGTTCAGTAAACGACCAGTCACAATGGATCCACTGTGTTTTTAAACGGAGTAGAAATAGACTCTCTGTGTGTGTCAGGAAACACAGGCAATCCTACCTGGAGGGGAGAGAACAGATGGTGGAGGTAAACGGTACTCTGTCCCCCCCCCTCCCAGTGAGCTGTGGTGTTCCACAAGGAAGCATATTAGGTCCGTTACTGTTCCTAATTTATGCAAATGACATGTCATCAGCATGTGACTGCAACTTGTTCCTGTTGGCGGACGACTCAGCCCTGCTGGTCTCTGACAGGAGCAGATTGCAGGTTGAAAAAACCCTCAGCTCCGAGCTCGGCAGAATCTGCACCTGGCTCGCCGATAATAAATGATCATTACACCTGGGTAAAACAGAGTCCATTCTCTTCGGTTCGAAACATAATCTCAGCAAATCCGACGACTTCTCAGTTGCAGTGGGTGACATTATTGTCACTAGTAAGAAGGAAATTACATACCTAGGATCTATTCTTGAGGCAAACCTCTCCTGTGACAAAATGGCATCCAATGTAATAAAAAAGGTCAATCAAAGAACTAGATTCCTATACCGGATCTCCTCTCTGGTAAACAAAAACACCCTGAAAACTCTGGCAGGAGCACTCATTCAAGGGTACTATGACTATGCCTGCACGTCATGGTACCCTAGCACCTCCAAGGCGCTAAAAATAAAACTTCAAACATCACAAAATAAACTGGTCAGACTACTGCTTGACCTTTCATCTAGAACCCACCTCACCTCTGCCCACTTTGACAACCTAGGATGGCTTAGAGTAGACGACAGAGTACAGCTACTTGCAATGGGCCTGGTCTACAAGATCCACTACACCTCTATGGTACCCATGTACATGTCAAAACTCTTCCCAAAGGTCAAGGAATACCTTGATCATAACACCAGAGGGAGCTCCACAAATCATGTAAAACCCAGATTTGGCACAAAAAAGGGGGAATACACGTTTCGCAATTATGCCACATCAAGGTGGAACGCTCTTCCCTGTAAAGGAAAGTAAAACTATACTTACCTTCAAAACCTCTCTTAAAGAGCACCTTCGGGGGAAAGCATTGCAAAACTGGCCCCGGTAATGGTACAAATCTCAACCTGTCGTACAATGGACAGCTTCCCCCCCCCCATCTATGTATATACTCGCATTTTAGACTCTGTTACTAACTGTATATCTGTAGACTTGGTATGTCTTAAATGTCCGGTTAGGATGTATTAGAACGAAATCTAAAATGTAAATTGTAAATAAGCCATCTGTATGTAAAAAACCACCTGTATGTAAATTGTAAATAAGCCATCTGTATGTCAAATATGTCTTATATGTCTTAAATGATATGATGAATTGGAAATGGGGGACCCTGATGTAAACAAGACGAAAGTCTTTCTCTGGTCTGCATCCCCTTAACAATTGTATGTTTTGAGCTGTACTGTACTGTACCCAATATACAAGCTGTTAATACACTTTTCAATCAATCAATCAATCAATCAATCAATCAATCAATCAATCAATCAATCAATCAATCAATCACTCTCTGTGTGTGTGTCAGGAAACACTCTGTGTGTGTGTGTGTGTGTGTGTCAGGAAACACTCTGTGTGTGTGTGTGTGTGTGTCAGGAACACTCTCTGTGTGTGTGTCAGGAAACACTCTGTGTGTGTGTGTGTCAGGAAACACTCTGTGTGTGTGTCAGGAAACACTCTCTGTGTGTGTCAGGAAACACTCTGTGTGTGTGTGTGTCAGGAAACACTCTGTGTGTGTGTCAGGAAACACTCTGTGTGTGTGTCAGGAAACACTCTGTGTGTGTGTGTCAGGAAACACTCTGTGTGTGTGTGTGTCAGGAAACAC